CAGAAAGGCCTGGCGGCCGAGTCCAGGTGGATCAGGACGTAGGGGCGTTTCGCTCAAATTTCAGTTTACTTAAAGAAACTCTAAAACTTCGAATCGATTCTAACAACCCAGGAGGCCTATCCGTTGTAGCCCACTTGATTGTGTAACCTGGTGGTGCGACGTAACATTGAATATGCCTCGGAATCTGGGCAAACAGCGATCACGCTAGAATACCGTGGTCAATTTATATGTCCGCAACAAAACAGATGGATGAAACCTTCTGGAACGTGGATGCTCTACTGAGGCTGCCTCTCAGTAAGAGCACGGCCCAACATACCTTTGTTAGGCACGAGTTAATAAATGAATGCGATTCGTCAGTCGGCGACAACAAGGACGTGAATCTTTCAAACAGTATTGATAATGGCAGTGACAATAGGGTGACTGAAAGAATATTTATGGTAGTGAGATGACGCAAACAGTCCAGCAATGCAGCAGTTTAGAGCTTGGAGAAAAACAACAGGCCTAAATAATGCCATAGAATGACGGCATGGATAAAAGTGATCTGAATACAAAAACCGCGGCCGCGGAATCGATTGGCAGGGTCATTCTTTGACTTTTTGGCGCCCAGTTCAAGAAAAAGAGCATCACCAGTTTTTCTAGAATCTTGCCACTGTGACAGTTTGTTGGAATATTCAGTTTTAAGAAAGCTCATAACGTACTGGACAGGTTCAGCGGGGTGACTCAAGCCCTACCTCTTACAACTTCCCTTCTTTGGTATCGCATCTGAGGGTGTTTCTGAAATCCCGGAGACATTTTTGCTATTCTTTGCACCGGTTCCCATAGTGTGTCGAAAAGTTCTGGACCGGTGAGCTCGTTCCTTTGCATATTATTCTCCTTACTTGCCATTTTTTCACACCTTTTTGCTGTACATTTTCGTCTCAACGAACAACCAATCGCTAAAATTCTTTCCCTTCCAACTTTGTATCGACCCAGCTCGTTCTCTTCTGGTAGGACAAAGCGGAAATATGTGTGATGGCTTCAGAAACGCTAAGCCACTGGTTGCGACACACAGATTAGCACACTTGTATTTCACCACTTCGTTGTAGTCTGCCCTGCCAGTTGACAGCAGGACCTTAAATTTTTAAAAGCCACGAACAGGGTCGCTGTCGCAATGCCTGTGGCGAGGATGACTAAGGGTGCAGAAAACTATCAAATTTCGACAAATACGGCAGGAGCTCAAGAAACCTTCATGCCGGCATTCGTTAGAACCAGCTCCCGCCGACAGAAACAGTCGCTCATCATTTATCACAGACGCACAAATGGAGGTCCGGCATCCCGTCACGTCTAGAGCATAGTTCGAAGTTATTCCCTCGACCACGAATAAATTTTTGACAACCCGTTCTTAAGTCTGTGAGCGGGTAACGGAAGGCGAACCGTGACCCAAGTAGAACGTCGGGTCTACCCAAAATGATGGTTAATCGAAACGGTTAATTTAATTTTCTCTCTGAATGGGGCTGCAATGCTCACGACGCACACAGATCTGCCTAATCACAACAACTCACCCGCAGACGTCCATTGAAGTGGCTGACAGATGATGACACAGATAGTTGATTTTGGGGGCGAACCGACACATGGACTACCAATTTTTTCACTTGCACAACACAATCAATGAGAAACACTTCACAAACCAGATTGGTGGAGTCACTCAATTCAGTGAAACAAATTAACGATACCACAGTCAATAAAAAAGGGATACCGATCAGCTTTGGCATGGGTTGTCAACGCGCCAAAAATGAAGACCAAAAGAGATGACTGTCCGGGAGAAAGAACCTAACTTTCAGCGGAAAACATTTTAGACAGGATTCAGTCATCTTTACTAACACGTTTCTTCGTGCTTTGGAAAGTTGCACTAACAAAAGGCAGAGATGGCTATGAAGTAAACCAACCCCACCAACAGCAGCCGGTGGATTGCCAGAAAAAGTGCATTGAAAACTTCCAAATCCTCGACTAAAATTTCGGGGTGTGCTTATGGTACCCCGGTAGCAACTTATGAGAAAGATATTAGATATTCCACTCACATGTAAACAGCCAGATGCACCCAATAAAGTTCACTACAAAGACAGAGGATGAGTCAGGAGTGCTACCAATGGTGTATCGTAAAATAAAAGCGACGACAGGTGTCAACTTAAAGCAACGGCACATAGAAAGCAAGTACATTCTGAAAGATTTCTGGAATGCCATCCAATCTATCTAATCAAGGTAAAATCAGGGGGTCTTGGAAGTCGAATACTTATATTAAAAGCATACCCTGATGGCCGGCAGAAGGAAAAAATTCTCCTACTCTGTTGTAGAATCTTTATCGAAGACAACTCATAAAAGCTAACATTTTGAAGACGGAAAAAGTCGACAACAGAAGTAAATAAGAAAGCTAGCAACGAGGAGATAGTATTGTTGCCTTCCAAAATAGGTACGCCATAGGAAATTAAGCGAAATCATGAGGGAGCCGGTACTTCCACAGTGCTTAAACCAAGGGATCCCACAAAGAACTGATGAAGCGAATTCAAGGATCCAGCTACTAAAATGGACTGGTGTAATATGAGGCGTGAAATACTGCGTGCAAACTGCTAAAGACCTATGTAGCACAAACTTCGAAGTCCCTGAAATCAGACCGAACACACGTCAAAGCCCGGTTTACAGGAGTAAAAGAGTGTAAAATTTGAAAAGCGATTTCCTTGGTAATGGTCCACGTATGGGAGGAAAAACCTACCGTTCACTAAGACAACAAACCCAACAAAAGTTCGTCGGAAAGAGGTGGGAAGAACGATTAACGACGGAATTCGCACTTATAAATGTCACACATAGCAGAGGTAATAAGGCTGAGCGAAACAAACTGTCAATCATTTGGAATAGCATGGTTGAAAAACAGACCAACAAACAATAGGCGAGAAGCACGTATGCAATACATCCTAGGAAATGTATGAATAAGAAAGTCCAACTTTACGTGCAGTTAAATACAGCAATTTTGTTCGAAATAGTATCATTTCCAAAAAGCCTATCACTAAGCGAAAATATTTCATTGGAATTTTGCACATAACTCACCAAAGAAGAGGATACCCATTGCTTTCCATGAGGATCTATTAAGACTATCTTGTGTTTTCCCTGGTATCCCAACTTGCGTGTTGTCTTTGACGTACGGATGAATGCGAATACTTGTAAAACTGGCTTACAATTCATACATATCAGGCCTTGTGAAGCCAATATTATTAGAACGTTTGGGTAAAAGTTTTGCCAGAAAGCAAGCAATACTTCGGACCACTTCGATCAAAATGAACTACTTGTTAAAGCACAAATCTTGCTCCATTTAACAGTAAGCGAAGCCAACCGAACACCTTCACATTTACCTGTTGTCTTTTTAAGAGGTTTACTCTGATCATTGCCTACATGAAGCCAGCTGAGTATGTTTATGTTTCCTTCAGATAACTTATTGCGTGCGTGGGTTTCCACTCGATATCTAGTTGCCCCATTCCACAGTGGCCGGCGGCAATGGCATCCGAGCAGTGAAGTTATTTTTAAAACCAGTCATAAGGAAGTCTTCGATGTGCCACTGCTTTGTCAAGGTGTGCCGATGGTATTAGAAGAAAACAGTGATTCTGTATCCTCTATGTTGAATTCCCTCTTCTCCTTTTCAGTGGATGCTGCTATCGACTCGGCCATCGCGAAAATTATTTTCTCCACTGGTACCCATCAGGAGAAAAGTGTGTTACCATTCGTGGTACGTCAGCTCTTCTTCCAGCACTATATCAACACATACGGAATCTGCATCTCACTCAAGGTTTCCACCAGTTGTGTCCGCGTGGTGAGTACAAAGGACATGCCTGAAAGCCTTCATCTAACACCATCACATTTTACTTGCCAGTGGTTCTTGCACGCGATAAACTTGAAGTCCACCCACGCTGTTACAGTATCGCCAGCTATCAGACTTTCCTTCTATCAGATTTTGATTCATCGTAAATTCCAGAGATATGTATCCATTTGTGGCGTACACTGTCCCGTACTAACCTTCCCCTTGTTACGATTAGTCGGATATTCGCTCGCCTAAAAGCCAGGTATTCATTTTCATCGATAACCCATTGTTCTAAGAAGTCTGTAGTGACTAGTATTTAATTTACAAAATGATTTCATTTATCGCACATATTCGGCATATGGGTGTCCGTTCCACTTGAAGTCTATGTAAAGTATATTTCACATACTCGGAATTATGAGCATGAATATATATTAGGTGCTTTAGGAGTTGTCCTGGTGCGAACTTGACAGACAGATGCCAATCACTCATTATTCGAACCCGTTATATACCAACAAATACATGACCAAGATGAACTCAATTGCGTGATCGGATGGAACAGCATATTTGTGATGTCGGGCCAGGACACCGACGCGTTCCAACCAACTGGCTAGAGGGTCGATTACGGGCAGTTCAACGCAACGCAACAGCGTGCTAAATGGCGAGGATGCCTGACCGGTTGCCACCAGCCTAGTGAGTTCAGCTAGACTATCAAGGTCAGCATCAATGCTGAATCTCGTCTAACCCTAGGCTATTCGTTCTGGAGAAGTGTGTGATGCTATAGATCACCCCCCGTGGATTCATGACGACCCTAAGATGATACTGGCCGAAAGTAAAAACCTAGTGGTTTCTCTACTGATAAAACCCTTCCTATGAGGTCACTGTGAGAAATGGCCTCTGGTTGTCTGAACTTATTCTGGGGTGTCGTGGCGAATGAAAAATAACATGCAATAAATTGAATTGTACGTCGGCCGTGATCTTCAGTGTCCTTTGACGTTCCGTTTAGTGCTCGTTGCACCTGGAATATAAGTGAGTCATTAATGCCATCAAAACGTTTCGTAAAAATGGGAATTATTTACGTATAAATACATCGAAAATAAAGTCTACGCTTATTTTCACTTTTTTGAAAGTAGATAGTGCCTCAAAAAATTGAGTTTAAGAATGAATCGTACGTTTTAAGTCAAACTACTTGACGGAATATGTCCTGATATACTCCTAGAACCTGACAGTTCGACCTGATCAAGTTGGTATCTTCATGAAGTATTTCAATTTTGATTACAGCTTCCGAAATCTCAGCCCAAAACTCATCAACTATATCATCCAGACGACGAAGAGCGAATGCCTGAAGTAAAATTTAGCTATACGATGACACTTATGCTACCTTAACATCAGCACCCTTATCGTCCAAAAGTGAAACAAGTCCGGCAGCAGAAGTCAGAGCCATTGCAAACCGTGACTAATCAAAGTAACGCTAACTTTGAAAGCAGCGCGTAATCACAGTACTTCTTCAGCATCCAATATCCAATATCTTTTTACGAGTTAGTGTTAACCAATTTATTTCTTCGCACTCGCAGGGTTACCACTGACAGCGCTATGGTGGCCGTTCTGTAGAATTCAGCTGTTCGGATGACTTGGGTTACTGAGTATTTTGTAAGCCGTTATCAAGTCATATGGAATCTACGGTAGCTTAGGGAGTAGAGCCCTGTCCTGATATGGTTTTCGCCTCATTCCCACGACACTCTTTGTAGCTCGCCTTTGGACTTTCTCCAGGAGGTTGACGTCTCTCTTCAGGTATGGTGGTGCAATGACGTGTTCTTCTAGGTAGGGTCGTATATAGGTCTTATACAGCTTCAAATGAGTTCTCGGGTCAGGGCACCCAACTGTCTGCGCATGCAGTGCGGTACTGCGTAGGCTCTGGAGGCATCTCCTGGACAATAAGAGCTAGTGTCTAGTTTGTCAGTCAGTGTTTGTCCTGTATATATTATTATTAGTCCTCTGGGTTCCTAATGGAGCATAGGGCTTCGGTAGCACATCTCCAAGGAGCCTTGTTCTATGAAATCTTTTGAACCTGACTCCACTACAGCCCACAAGTTCTCATTTCCTCCTCACACGGTCTCCTCAATGTCATCCTCGCCTCAGATGCCCAGCTAGTCGCTTCCCATCGGGTTCCACTCGAGCAACTGGCGTGACACGTGATGTCCCCAGTCGGCCTCCTCAGTGTATGCCCAATCCATCTCCACTTCCTTCTGCATAACTGTTCTGCGATAGCTTCTTTGAATCGCTTCCAGAGTTCCTTGTTGCTTATTCACATTATTCTGGCCATCTGATCTTCAGTAGCGAGCCAGCGTAGGCTGCAGCTGTTGATGAATGTCTGTAGTTTGTTGGAAATCCCTTTCGTAACGCGCCGTCAAGTCTCTCAATCATCACATGGAAGCACTGACTTGACTGAATTGGTGTTGAAAATCCGCATCTTGTTAACGCTTTGTGGTGAGTGTAGAAGATCTCCACACTGGTTTCAGGTTAATGAACGCCTGTCTTGCTTTTCCGATTTTGACTTTGACATCCCGTCTGTGCCTGTGCTGCCTGTAGTTGAAACAGTGTCGCCTAGACAGGTCAAGGAGGTTACTTCCTTTAAGTTTCTCCCGTTGATGGTGACTGGAGTTTGTTGTTGTTGTTGGAGTTGTTGGTGCGGTATCTTCATCACCTCTGTCTTCTCTATATTCACTTGAAGTCCCGTCTTCGCTGCCCTGCCTCACCTCTTCTGTCAACTTGTTAGTTTTCGCCTGTAGATCTTCAAGTTTGTGTGACATCAGGCACAAGTCATCGGCGAGATCCAGATCTTCTAGGTTATTTTCCGCAGTCCAGCGTATCCTCCTCTTCTCACTCCCCACTGTTTGCTGCATGATCCAGTCCAGTTGACCACAATCAGGAATATCATGGGTGATAGTAGGCGGCAACCTTGTTTCACTCCTGTCTTCATTCCACTTCAAAAGCACCACTGAGCTGAGCTTTGCATTGTGAATTACTTGGCTGGCATGTGGCGTCTTCATATAGTTGTTGAATGAGGTTGATAAAGGTTTGTGGTACTCTGTAGTAATGAAGCAGTTTCCAAATTACTTCTCGGTCGATGCTGTTGAAGGCCTTTTCAAAGTGGATGAAATTGAGATAGAGAGAGTTGACTATCATTCTATGCTGTGTTCTAAGATGATGTATGGCGTAGCGTTGCAATTTGGTCTGCACATGATTTGTACTTCCTGAATGCAGCCAGCCTGTTTCGGTCGTAGTTTTGAATCCAGTGCATCTTTTGGTCTATCCAGGATGATGTGGCTCAACAGTTTGCTTGCTCCGGGCGGATGAAGAGTGATTCCTCGCCAATTCTTGCAATGACTTGGGTCTCCCTTCTTCAGGAGTTTGGCAAGGTAGCCCTTCTTACAATCGGCAGGTGCCTTCCCTTCCTGCCAGACCCTCTGCACTAGTGGTGTGAGCATGCCCACTGTTGTCCCTGCGTCTGCTCTCAGTGATTCTGGTGGGATCCCATCTGGTCCTGCTGCTTTCCCGCATTTCAGTAGCTTTATGGCGTTCAGGACTTCCATTTTCGTTGGGGATTTATGTTCACTTGTAGTTCAGCGGCTGGGCTGTGGGTGGTATTTCTGGACGAAGTGCAGGTGGTGGTGGTCGATTCAAGAGCTTCTTGAAGTGGTTGGCCAGCCCATTGTTTCCTCTGTTTCTCTTCTTTCGTAATTAAATTTCCTTCTTCATCTTTTATTGGCTTCGTCTGAGTTCATCTCTTCCCTGCCAGATAGCAACCTGGTTATTTGATACAATGTTGTCAGATCTCTCTTACCTGCAGCCTGTTCTGCTTCACTTGCCAGTGTTTCGTAGAAGTGTCTTCTGCCTTTCCACCCACTCTTCTTCACTTCTTTGTCCAGTGTATTGTTTTATACATTGTACTCAGTTACTCATGTCGCTGAGCATCCATGCACTGGTTTATCTTCCACTTCACCGTCCTCCTCTCCCTGCTCTATCAGCTTCCATGTATCCATTGACATCCACTCCATTCCTTATCTTCTTTCTTCTTCCTTCCTAATACGACTGTGCAGGTTTCTTTCCACATAGCCTTCAAAGACTTCCAGTGTTCTTCCACACAGGTCTCTTCACGGATGTTCCTCGATATCTCCCATTTTGTCTTGATGGCTGACTGAAGTGAAGATTTCCTTTGTAGTTTCATCCTTCAGTTTGTGTTCTGTGTGTTGTACTTGAACTGCGGTCTATCACCAGCTTCCTTGAAGGCTTTCAACTTGATTTGGAAGGTTCCTTACACTAGACAGTGAGTGGTCTGGACCTACATCTGCTCCTCTTCTTCACCTTGTGTCAAGTAGGCTGACTGCGTCTCCATTTTCTTGAGATTGAGATAAAGTCGATTTGATTTTTAGTGTGTCCTGGTTTCTGGTGAAATCGAATCCATGTCGCTCGCTTTGTGGATATCCTTGTGCTTGAACACACTGCCTCACTGCAATCACCAAATCGTTGAATGCACAGAATTCTGCAAACAATTCTCCATTCTCGTTCATCACCTCACCGAGTGCTTCCCGATCCATGGTTAGTTAGTTCTCTTCCTGTGTTGTCTGCTCCCAGTTTGGCATTCATGTCGCCCATCAGAATGCATTTCGATATCGCCAACTGACGTCTTGTCCAGTGTTGACTGAAGTTGTCTGTAGAATTCCTCCTCCTTCTCTTGCTCTGCATTATTTGTAGGTGCACAGCGTAGCGTCGTATGATTGTGACCTTCCTTTTGAGTTGAAGCTTGCTGTCATGATCCTGATGGTGGAGGAGGTTGGTTCCCACTGCATGAGAGTGACCCTTCGATGCTGTTGGGGACATCATGATAGCCACTCCATAGCTGAGTGTGCTGGTGGTTGGCGTCTGGGTGACAACATCGGAGTAGATTATTGATTCTGCAGTTGACAGTCTGAAGAATCCACTCCCATTCCATCTGCTTTCGCAAATTCCAAGCACTTCAATGCTGTACCTTCTCATCTCGTTTGCAATCTGGGCTGGCCTGCTGGGTTCAAACATGGTGCGGACATTCCATGTCCCCATGTTTACTTTCGCTTTCATCGAGAGGAGAGAAGACACATCGGCCAGTTGGCTTCCTGAAGGCAGGCTTTCACTAACTGGCGTCATTTCGCCTCTCCGATTCCAGCGAGGAATGAGTTTGTTTTTGTTTTTTATATTTTGTTTGTGCTTTGAAGTTTCTTCAGCGGTTGGACTTGTTTAACGGACTAGGGTCGCTAGCCCTACGCCGAACCCTCCCTCTTTACCCGGGCTTGGGACAGGCTAGCAACTAGTGAACTAGTTAAGCAGACGAGGTTATTGGTCCTGTGTACTATACGATAATCGCCTTTTGTAGTTTGATTTATAGCGCAAATTCAAATCAACCGCAACATAAACTGCTCAATTCGCTCCATAAAATGTCGGTGAATCGCTGCTGAAAACTGTAAAATTTGTAGATTAAGAACCTCAAACTTCAGACTTCGTGATGTAAAATTAGAGGAATGCGGTTCTACGGGTTCCACGTCTAACCTATTGAAGTATGTTCTACGTTTGACAGGTTCACAGCTGTCTTCCTGGATTCTGAAAACCTGAACGTATGGAGATAGTCAAATATTGATTAATCTGGCCTCAAGGCAGTACTACTCCTCCTGATCTGCTGATGGCGGAGGGCTTCTTGGATACAGTCCACTAGTGCCACAACTCTCTTGGTGTGCATCTGACCCTCACTTAAAAGTATCAGGGTATGTGGCCGTAACAACTGCTGACGGAACAGAGTTCCACACATTACAAACTCTAACCGAGGTGACCACGGGTCTTTGGACATACTGTCATGCTGTGTTCTTAACGGGTGACCCCTCAGGTGGCGTTTCAGAATAAAGCTTAGAATGTAGCCGAAATTATTTTGTCAATATAAGCAAATTATTCCGAAGCTCTTCCGAATGTTAAGACTTCCTATTTTTCGATCACGATAAAGTTTCACTAAAGTGGTATTGAAATACACTTTTTAGCACCACAGATTTCGGAAGCGTAAGGGAAATTCTGCGTCATACTCAAGCTTACACACTCCTCCTAAGTGTCCTTGTGTTTTCAAAGATTGCGGTGGAAATATTAACCTTTTTACTGCAAACAACACATTTTGACGGAGGTGGGTTAAAATTCAAGCGGTTTCAATGCTAACACAATGAAGAAATAAATATTAAATTCATGAAAATAAGTAACTTGCTAGTTTAACAGATAACTCGAACTTCCTACGCAGTCATGAATATGTGCTCCCTGGATCTCGGAACATTTAAATAAACAAATAAATATCTTTATCCTCAAGTTATGAAGTTAACCCCTTTTTCTGTATATACTTTGACAAGCCAACATAATTCCCAGCCTGTTTCCATG